CCCAAAATCTGCTCCGGGATTGTGGGATCGGCTCGGGATGGACCCAAAATCCGCTCCGAGAGTGTGGGATGGGCTCGGGATGGACCTGAACGGACCCGAAATCCGCTCCGGGGGTGTGAGAGGAACCCTAAATCAGCTCCGGGAGTGTGGGATGGGCTCGGAACGATCCTGGACAGACCCAAAATCTGCTCAGGGGGTGTGAGAGGAACCCTAAATCCGCTCCAGGAGTGTGGGATGGGCTCGGGATGGACCTGAACGGACCCGAAATCCGCTCCGGGAGTGTGGGATCGGCTCGGGATGGGCCCAAAATCTGCTCCGGGAGTGTGGGAGGGACCCAAAAACCGCTCCGGGAGTGTGGGATGGGCTCGGGACGGACCCGGAGGGACCCAAAATCCGCTCCTGGTGTGAAAATCCCCCCGGGACCGGGATCAGCGGGATCTGTAGGATCTGCACCCACCGTAGAGGGAGAGCTCGAACGATTGATCGTGCACCAGGGCGGGTTTGATTAATTTAACTCGGCCTTGGAAGGTGCCGTTATCGCCCCATTTCAGGTCCCGGATCCTCAGCTCCGTCTCGCCAACCTCCAGCCGCTCCCCAAAACGGTCCTGGGGGTCGGGGCGCTCGAATCCCCCGGGACCGACAACGGCCACGAGGATGGTGGCACCGGTGCCACTTGAAAATGTCCACTCGATCGCCTTCACCGCCGCTTTTGGGGACAAATCCAGCGAAAGCAGCGCGGAGCCCCCCAGGACGGCGCTCACCGGCCGGGGCGGGGCGGGGGCAGCACCTGGGCGGGACAGGGGGGAGCTGGAGACCCCCAAATCCTCCCCCAGGACTCCCCCAAACGGGGCCAAACCTCGGGGAATGTCCCCAAAAATCCCTGTGAGTACCGCGACCCTCGTGGGGCAATTTCTGCGGGGGACAAGGAGTCCCTCCCGCCCCCCGGAGCCCCCGAATGCCGCGAGGGACCCGGGGGGAGGGTGACAAAGTGACGAACGAACCGAGAGGGGCCTCGCTTGTGGCTCGCTCTCCTCAGCGCCTTTGGTTTCCAGAGGAAGCGAGAGGGGAGCGCAAACGACACAAAAAGGCAGAAAAAAAGAAGCCGCAGCGAGTGGTCTCGGTCACCCGGACGAAAGTAGGGGTTCATCGCCCTCCCCCCACCGCGCTCGGGGGGTGCAGGGGGAGGGGTGGGGGTCCTTTGACCTCCCCCCCTGCCCGGGGGTTCAGGCGGGTCCCCGGCGCTCACGGATTGAGTTAAAAAACATTTTAAAATTTAAAAATTCCACCCCCGCGCCCGTTACTTGAGCCCGTCCGGTGTGGAGGGTTTTTTTTGGAGTGCCCGAGGGTTTTGGGGTGAAATTCCCGGCTCCTCCCGGGGAAGCGGGCATGGAGCGGGGCAAGGCCGGGAGCGACCTTAGGCTTCCCTTTTTCACCTCGGTCTGCGACCAGAGCGCTCCAAAGTTTGCCCAAATCGGGCAAAACTTGCCAATTTTCCCTTTTCCAGCAGCGGCTCGGGAGAGCTGTAAAGTCCCAGGAGCTCCCCAAGGATGAAACAGTCCCGGATTTTGGGGTCCAGCCCCCCAAACGCCCTCGGGGGTGGATTTATCCCGGAGGAGACGCTGAGCACCCCCAGGGCTCCGGAGCATCATTCCCACCTCCTTCCCACCCGAAATCCCTGGTTTTCCCCCAAAAAATCTCCTTGATTTCCCCCTCCCCCAGCACCCACCCCCACCCTCCCGGCTCTGTCCCCGCCACCTCGGAGCGCCCTCAAAAATCGGTTTTTTGATAAAAACGGGCGCCGGGAGGTCGGGAAAACTCGCGATCCCCTCCCGACCCGCACCCACCTGCCACGCTGAGGAGCAGCGCCAGCACCCGGGGGACAGCGCAGGGTGGCCGCGGGTGGCCCGGGGGTGGCCCCATGGCGAGCTCGGAGCCCCGAGCGGAGCCGGGCGAGCTCACGGAGAGGGAGGGCGAGCACCGAAAGTAGCGCCGGCAACTTTGCACGTGTGGTGGTGACACCGCGGGGGGACCTCCTTTTCCCCCGGCGACACCGCGGGGACACGGCGGGGGGATTTTTTACCCCCGGTGACAATTTTGCTCCGCGAGAAATTGCCGAAATTCCGGTTTTTTCCGGCGGGATCGGAGAGGAAAAGTGGCAGGTGTGGGGCGGGTGTAGGTAAATAACGGCAGCTGTCGCTACCTACCTGTGAGCACCTTTGTCCCCAAGAATGCCACATCCGTGGGGTGGCGTGGATGGGATCGGGGGGGTGGCATGGTCCTGGGTGGCACCCTGGGGTGGCCTGTCACCTCAATTGGGGGGATTCTGTCACCTCAATTGGGGGGATTCTGTCACCTCAATTGGGGGGATTCTGTCACCTCAATTGGGGGGATTCTGTCACCTCAATTTGGGGAGGTTCTGTCATCTCAGTTGGGGGGTTTTGTGTGTCCTGTGTCACCTGAAATTGGAGTGTCCTGCCCCCCACACCTGTACGTGTGACACACCCACACCTGCACACACCTGAACACCCCCGTACCCGCACCCACCTGTCCCCT